TTCACTTAATTTATTTTTAAATTATTTTTCAGGATTCACTGTAGCAAGTCGCCCGTTTAACGGGCAACTTACAATAGTAATTTTTTTTTAAAATAAGCTGCATGTTATTTCTGCGACTAGTTACATGACTCAGCAAGTCTGAGTCAGCATAAGTCGCCCGTTCGATGGGCGACTTTGCCTATTCTTAAAATTTTTTTTTCGATACTTAATTACATTATTAAAATTTTAGAAATACCTAATTTAAAAATTTGTCCGAATAATTATTACATTCGGACAAAAAATTAGAAATTCGGACATATACCGAGCAATACCGAGTGCTCGGTACCGAGCTTCAGGTGACGTGGCTCGTGGTTATTGGTCTCTAGACATGCTCGGTGACCGGACGTAATAATTCCTGACGCGGCCCACGTGGCTTTTACCAGATGGCACCGCCATGCCCTCCTTTGTCGCGTACAAAGAAAGGGTAAAACCGTCAATTAATAAATATTAAATATGGATAGTTCAACCTGTAATTGATCTCCATAACTCGGGTTCGGGTCTTCCATCTTGACCCGTTTATTAAGTAAGTTTAGTTCGTGTTGATTGGATTCGAGATAGGTTAATTTTGAGTTGGACTTGAACCTAACACATTAACTTATTTTGACTCCCCTAAATAGGAACTTTTATTTTGGTCGGCGAATAGCTGGTATGTCGCTCGTGCGTATTTTAAATCCATGACAACCCGGTATTGCTCGGTATTGCTAGGTATTGGTCGATTTTGCTCGACAATAACGAGAAATACCATCATGTGAAGACAAATACCAAGCAATACCGAGAAATACCGAGCAAATATCGAGTAATACCTAGCAATCCCGGGTTCCGGTCCGGGTCAAAGTCGTCGGGCCTCGCGGTAAAGAATGAGAGCACGTGGCGACATGTTATTGGCAGCCGAACGTAAAGCTACGTCAAGTCAGAGGACGTAATAATTGCTCCCTAGATAGGGTCGATACAAGAATATTCTCTTCCTCACAATTAAAGAAGATGATATTATACACAGTCGAAAAAGAATTATCTGATTATCATTATAGAGATTATAGAATTTGAGTGTTCACAAACGGACAGTTAAAGCCCAATAACATAAATAGATGTTAGCATTCAAATGAGAATAGTTCAATATCTATCACAAATTCATCATTATTCGTCTAATCAATAAAAACGTTTAGTCTTACTCCAACACATTAGCGGGATGAAAATGTCTTCATCAAAATTTGCTGAGAACTAGGGTTCATTTGGGAAAGCTTTCTTATAATTTTCTAATACAAAAATTTCTAATTCAAAATCTTTTTTACTTAAAAGTTGTGAGACCTCGTTCCCTTACTGTTCCTCTCTGATTTGGATTTTTTTCTCTCAGGATCGTCCAGGAATTTCTCTCAAAGGAAGACTTAGGTTTTATTTGGGATGACTTTTTTATTATTTGTTAAAACAACTTTTTAGTACAAAAATTAAAAGTTTTATACTAAAAAATTACTCGAAGAAGCAGTAAGAAACCACCCCAAACAAAGTTTTTGGCTTCGTTTGGGACAGCTTTTTTGCTATTTTGTAAAACTATATTTTAATACAAAAATTTCTAATTAAAAAAAAAGTGCTAAAAATCATTTTAGAAAGCAACAAAGAAGCTGTTCCAAACGAAAACGAAGCCTTAATCTTATTTATTTTGAAATGAATGTATTACATAACTAATAAAATTTAATTTAATTTTAGGTATATCTTAAACTAAATATAAATTTTTTAAACTTATTTTAAATAGAGAATTCTAAGATGATTTTATTTCTTGAATATTGCAAAATTTTAAACATTGCTTAATTACATCAATTATTTACATACAATAAAGACTTTTTGCATTCAACTAGTTATTAATGAGCATTGATAAGTTCTATAGCTCTGTACTATTTATTTATGTTCCCGCGCTTGTGATAGAATGTAATCACAAGCGCGGGAACATAAATAAATAGTACAAAACTATAAAGTAAAGTTTCTCTCAATCAATAAATCGTAAATAATAAATGCTTAGGCTTTTACAAAAATTAACATTTAGTCTACAATGAATATAAAGCATTAATTGCCGTTTAAGATTTTTTTTTTTAATTTATTTTACTTTTCTCTATATTTTGATATGAAATAGAATATAATTTATATCTAAAAAATATATTGTATCTATATTTATTGAATATTGAATAAGTTGATGACGAAAGATTCAGAGTGGTGGCGGCCAATGATAAAAATTATTTTAATATGAATGAAAACATCTCAAAAAAACTTTTTTAGTATTTTTACATATAATTTGATTTATTTTTAATTATTAAAAAAAAAACAATGCAAGTAAATATATTTTTAAAATTATGAAATAAAATAGATCCAAATAAGCCCTAATCTTTTAGTTCTTTATATTATTTGTTCTTTTATTTTATTTTCTGGTGAAATATGTCAGAAAGTTTCTTCCAAATAAAAATACCCTTTTACCAACTCACTACATTTTTAACTCCCTAGCAATTCTCCAATAATATTCGAAGATTAATTTAGGCTTCATTTGGGATGACTTACGTAATGGTTCTTAAAGCAGCTTTTGATAAAAAATTTAAAAATTTTGTACTATAAAGTTGTTTTAAGAAGTATTAAGAAAGTTGTCTCAAACGAAGACTTAATTTTAATAAGGTTTTGTTTGGGACAGTTTTCTTACTGCTTCTTAAAACAGCTTTCTATTATGAAAATTTTAATTTTTATACTAGAAAGCTACTTTAAAAAACAGTAAAAAAGCTGTCCCAAATGAAACTAAGACTTTGCTTGACCTTGATCAAATTATTAATTGACTTTACAACTTATTGATAAAATTTTGATCAAAACATTTTCAAATCATGATCAAAACTTCTTCAATTATTATTCGAAACTTGTTTGGAAGTACAAATAAGATTTAAATAAGCTATGAACAATATTTGATCATGGCCCTAAACATATTTCGATCAAGGTACAAAAAAATTCTGATCAATATTTGAAGCTAGAAATCTAATATTTATTGCCCTTTTGGGTTTAGGGCTTAGAGTGCGAATGATATTTTCAAATCTTAATAACCAAACGTAAACCATCAATAACTTTGAACATCAAAGTGGAAACTTTGCAATAAATATTATTCTTTATTTTGTAAAAAAACAGTTACTTTAACAAGCAGTAAGAAACTCATTCCAAATGAAATCTTAATAAAATGTGCTACAAATATTATTTTTTATGTTGTACAATCCAACAATATTGTTAAATAAATAATATTTCATAGATATAAAGAATATTACACTAACAGAAATTGGTCAGCTAACATTAGACCATTTTATACAATAATGATGTCAAAAATATGTTGAATTAAGTTAATGTATATATAAAGCATTATTTTGTTGAAATTTTATTTCTTGAATGGAAAAAGCAGCCCAATAAGATTTTTTTTTTCAGTCATTTTGATGAATTCCAAAATTAGTTGTAGAGTTTTTATTCCATATTATTTCCAAATACATTTAATCAAATTATTAAATGTAAAAATTTTTAAATATATATTTGCTTAACTCCAAACAACTCAATTATAGCAATCTGACCGCAACAAAATGAATTGAACTGATCCTAACTTATTGATGTAACAACCCAAACTCTTAAGCATCGAGGAATTGCGCATTTTGGTTTAATAACATAACGACTTTGCCCCCTTGGTATAACTTATGAGGGGGTCAACTATCCTAAGAGTGCTCTCATACGAGCATGCTTACTCTTAAAGTTTATAATAAAATTTCAATTGATACGTAATAATATGTCTCAATTTTTAAGAGTTTAGTGTTATTTACTCAAGAGTCTTCTCAATCTCTCTCACTTAGATAATGATATCCTCGTTAGTTTCATAAACATAGAATTATCCACAAAGTAGATAAGATCTTACTGGTAGAGTTCTCATCCTATGACAGATGTATTGCTCTGATATCATTTGTAATAGTCTAAACTCTCAACTATTTAGATATTACTCCTTTTAACCTAATAGCCTCACAATTTTATCCTCTAAGTGTAACTTCCCAGGAGGTCCCCCATCCTAAGATTGCTCTTGTGTGATACCGCCGTTCACAAGAAGCATCAATGTTTAAGAGTTCAACTTTATTTACATAGGGGGGTTTCATAGTCTCACCCATTTAGATATCGACGTCCTCATTAGTTTCCTTAGCCTAGAATCACCCACCACACAAATAAGATTCAAAGATAAAGTTTCCATCTTTTAGTTGGTGTATTACTATAATACCATTTTTAATAGCTCAAACTCTCAATCGTTGATATATTGTCTATTTTGGCCTAATGACGTCATGATTTTATCGTATTGTTCTAACTTCCTATGAGGTAACCTATCCTAAGAGTACACTCATATGAACATGTTTAATTTTGAAGTTTTTCATAAAATTTTAATCGTTACACAAAAAAAAGCCTTGATTTTTTACTTAAGGGATTTCACATTCTTCCCCACTTAGATAACTAACATTCTCCTTAGTTTTATTAGCCTAGAATTATCCACGAGGTAGATACTAGAACTTAGTTCCATCTTTTAGGTTGTGTATTATTATAATACTATTTGTAACAGTTCAAATTCCTAACCATCGAGATATTATATTTCTTTAACCTAATGGCCTCATGATTTTCTTCTCTAGGTGTAACTTCATAGGAGGTCGACCATCCTAAGACTGTTCTTATATGAGCACATTTAACTTTATATTAAATTAATTAAAATAGTATGTTTATATCATTTAAATTAAATTAAAATAATTTTAATATTTATTACATCATTCAATTTAATTATTAAAATTTTGAATCTATCTCTCTCAATGTTGGATAGCATTTTCAAACCCTTAATTTTTACCCTTCCTGTTAATTTACTCGCTCATTAATCCCGCCATCGCCTAAGTTACACTATAAATCTACGCGCGTTTACCTCTCCAAAGACCAGAAAACAAGAAGGACAATAACAAGAGCAAGGCACAGGCGATTCAGGCGATTCTCTCCTCTCCTCTCCTTGCCCGCAACGAACTCCGCCTATCAAACCATTTCAATCCCAAAATGCTCGACTCCAAAGTCTCTCTCTTCCTCGTCTTCCTCTCCGCCGTCGCGGCGGCGAAGGTTGCGGCGGAGCCGCGCTACCGCGATTTCCGATTCCGCGAAGCCCCCCAGTTCTACAATTCCCCCGGCTGCCCTCCTCCCCTCTCGCTATCGTCGGCGGAGATAAACTGCTCCCCTTTCGCCCTCGTGCACGTCGCCATGACCCTCGACGTCGCCTACCTCCGCGGCTCCATGGCCGCCATCAACTCCGTTCTTCAACATTCCTCCTGCCCTCAGTCCATCCACTTCCACTTCCTCGCCTCCAAATCGATCCCCTATCTGAATTCCACCATTGCCTCCTCCTTCCCATCTCTCCCCTTCCTCATCCACCCCTTCGATCCCTCTCTCGTCTCCGGCCTCATCTCCACCTCCATCCGCTCCGCCCTCGATCGTCCCCTCAACTACGCCCGCACCTATCTCCCCCATCTCCTCCTCCCCTGCATCACCCGCGTCGTCTACCTCGACTCCGATCTCATCCTCGTCGACGACATCGCCATCCTCGCCGCCACCCCCATTCCTCCGCCTTCCTCCCTCGCCGCCCCGGAGTACTGCAACGCCAATTTCACCGCCTACTTCACCCCCACATTCTGGGCCAATCCCTCCCTCTCCACCGCCTTCAAAGGCCGCCGTGCTTGTTATTTCAATACAGGGGTCATGGTGATGGATCTGAAGAAATGGAGGGAGGAGGACTACACGCAGAAGATTGAGGAATGGATGGAATTACAGAAGCGAATGCGGATCTACGAATTGGGTTCCCTGCCGCCGTTTCTGCTGGTGTTCGCCGGGAGAATTGCGGCCGTGGATCACCGCTGGAACCAGCATGGATTAGGAGGAGATAATTTTAGAGGCTTGTGTAGGAATCTCCATCCAGGCCCCGCCAGTTTGCTGCATTGGAGCGGAAAGGGGAAGCCATGGGCGAGGATTGATGCCGGCCGTCCGTGCCCGATTGATGCCCTCTGGTCTCCGTACGATCTTCTCCGGCCTGCTTTCTCCATCGAAGGTGATTCCTGATTCATGCCAGACGAGGTAATTAATTAGCCGAGTTATTACATGATGAACTTTTGATCAACCTATAATGATCTACATACAAAGTAGAATCAATAAATAATTCATTATGTTCTAAGTCTTCTTTTATGGAGAAATTATACGTGCGGATTTCGGATGTAATTTTTCGTCCGGACATCAATCACGGGAAGACACGTGAACTTTTTCTTTCTTGTACACACTCTCTGTACAATGTACACACCCTGTGTATAAGAGAGAAAAAATATCTGTGTCTTTACGTGCAGATTTCAGACGTAATTTTTCATTAAGACGTCAATAACGTGGAGATACATGAAATACACACCATACAAGAGAAAAAAAATTCATGTGCCTTTACTTGATAAGAGTCCGGACAGTGTCCTAACTCCGAATGTAATACTTTTTCTCGTCTGAGACCGTTTTGTTGTCACTTTTTTCGTTGATTTCAAAGAATTTTTATATTAAAAAGCTACTATAGAAATAATAAGAAAATTTTCTCAAACAAAATCTAATTCGAATGATCTACAAATTATTTTATACATATGATGGATCAGACGATGTTGAGATCGTTCGAATTTGAATAAGAAAAGAAAATTATCAAGTTATTTACAAATCATATCAAATATATTTCAAACTTATTGCTTTACTTTGAGATAAGTGTATTATATGAAAATTAGCATTGCACTAATCTTAAAGCAACTTCATCGAGATATTGCATGTAGTAAATTGTAATTTCGATATAAATGTAAAAATTTTCATATTTATTATATGAGAATATTCTAATATAATTTTTTCTTATTTATTTTTTTTTATTTTAATACAATTTGTATTAAAATATTCTATATATTTTTCCTCAGTAACTATGACTACCTCTTTTTGTCACTGGAAATCATTCTCATGAGGCAAGTAGGGGGACACGGATTTTAAATTTGCAGGGGAATGCAAATTCAAGCAGAGGCAAGGGGTGAAGATGTAAATATTAGTTTACAGAGGGGTTTATTTGGCTTTTTATTCACTTTTATCGTGTGCCATGCCATGTTCTTCTATATAAATTCAACGTCGAGAAAACGCGTTTGTTTCAGCTTTTCTAAGTGTAAAGAATGGAGGAGAGGGCCCAATTTGTAACTGATATATAATTAATAAAGAGTCGGCCATCTGCCAGCTGGAGATTCTAAGTCTGTTTCTTTTTTTCTGGCTGGTGAGTTGCTTGGAGAATGTTTTTGGTTTTATTTGAATGATTTTTTTTATTATTTTATAAAGTTATGTTTTTAATAAATTAAAAAAAAAATGAAAGAAAAAATAATAGTTTAAAGTTATCTCAAACGATAGAGATTTTTACGTGCAGAATCTGGACATACAGAACTATTCGATTTGAGAATGTAAACAGTAGAAACATAGTTACTGTTCATCGCTATGCTGTTACTGTTTCCTGATACGTTATATTTTTACTGTTTATAGTCACAAAACTAAACAATTCTTTCCGTCAGAACTCCGTACGTAACAATCTCTCCTCAAATGAAGTATTAGGTTTATCGATAATTATGTTCGAAGTCCTTTGATAATTTTTAATATTAGGGTTCATTTAGGACCGTTTTCTTTCTATTTTTTAAAGAAACTATTAGTATAAGAATTTTTGAATTATAAATTTTTATACCTATCATAAAAATTTATATTTGTAATATTAAATGAAACCTTAGTCATCTTAAAAATTTTCTTTATTTTTTTTTTAAATTATCTATCTTATTATTTAAAATTATTTTTTATTTTGTTTTTAGATGAGCTAGTGAAAATTTTTTATTTTTGTACTAAAAAACTATTTTAAGAAGCAGCAAGAAAGTCATCCCAAGGCTTCGTTTGGGACGGCTTTTTTACTGCTTTCTAAAACGGAGTTTTAGTACAAATTTTTTTATTTTTATACTAAAACTCCGTTTTAGAAAGCAATAAAAAAGCCGTCCCAAACGAAGCCTAAATCTATTATAGAACACAGGTTACTAAAACAAAGATTTCCTAAAAGCAACAAAAAATAGTGGCTAGAAACAAATTATTGCCTTGATATTAAAAGCAAAATAAGCATCATTTGGAACAGCTTTCTTACTAGTTTAAAAAATATATTTTTTAGTATAAAAATTTCTTGAATTAAAAAACTTAAATCTTAATTTGATTTTTTTCTTTTATTTTTGGTAGTTTTGATTTATGATTTATCTTAATTTTCTTTTTTCTATTTATGCCTTTATTTCTTTTTTTTTTTTTCTAATTATTTCATTAGTCCAAACTAGAGACTTGGTGTTCTTTATAGAATGCTTTGGCTATGTTAGGCCTTTATGCAGAGAAGCAGAAAGGCAGAATTCTGATTTAGTTGACTACAAGCTCTGTACAATTTGCTTCATTTACACTAAAATCATTCACTTTCCTCAGTATTGGTCGGCCAAAATAAGCTGTGATCTGCTAAATCTCATGATGAGGAAAAATTATTGCGTCCTCCCACCTCACGTAGAGATACGTTCTCACAGAGCTAAAATCACGCTAAAAAATAAGAAATACCGAGTAATACCAAATAATAACGAGGAATATCATCATGTGAAGACCAATACCGAGTTATACCGAGCTATACCGAGCAATACCGAGCAATAAAAAAAAATACCTAGTTTTTCCTAGAAAAAACTCGGTATTTTTTGGTATTGCTCGGTATAACTCGGTATTGGTCTTCACATGATGATATTCCTCGTCATTATCAAATAATACCTAGCAATACCGAGCAAAAACCGAGTTTTTTGGCGGTGGGAGGATGTATCACTACGTCAGGTGGGAGGATGCAATAATTTTTCGAGAGGGTGCTATATATACACACACATACACACAAAATCACTAATATTTTATTTAGATCACTTAGAAATTTTTTTGGTAGTAAAATTTAGGTTTTGTTCGGTGTACTCGAAAGCTGCTTTCTATGAAAGTTAATTTCTTTACAGTAGTTTTATAAAATAATAAGAAAACTGTTCCAAGCGATCGATGCCTTAGGCTTTGTTTGTTGAGACGGCTTTCTTACTACTTTCTAAAATAATTTTAGTTCAAAAACAATAAGAAAACCATCTTAAACAAAGCCTTCTTATTGTTTTTTAAAGCAAACAATATAAATTTTTTGTAATAAAGAACAGCAAGAAAGTTATTCCAAACGAAGCCCCGGTGGACCAATAAAAAGTTTATTATTTGTTTTGAAGGTTATATTATCTAATAATAACGATATACAAACTAAACAAAACTTACCATGCAATTTTCCTTCTCGTGCGGTTTCAAAATAGTTGCAAAAGGAGTTTGCAACAGACAACAATCACGGCGGTGTTGCAGCAATTCTAGAACTGATTCTAACTTTTGGTGGTGATTAAAACTGCCACAATAGTCGGGAAACAATATTGCAAAACCTTTTTTTTTTTTTTTTTTCCTTGGAGTGATAGTTGCACTTAAAAATAATACATAACATATAAAATCAATGATTGATAGAAGGATAAATAAACTTAATGGATATTTTTATTTGTTATTTTTCAAAATGGTTAATAGGCTTTGTTTGGAAAAGCTTTCTTACTGCTTTATTTTTTAGATTGTAACTACAGTTTCAAAAAAGGTAATTTTACCGCAACAGCGTTATAATCACCATAATAAAAAGCTACAATCATTTCAAACAGTCCCTTAATGTAAATTATATTACGGAACAAACTAATTTATCTTGAATTTAAGGAGATAAATAGAATTTATGAGCAAAAATTTTGTATTATCTTTATAACTATAACATAATTTATCTAAAATTTTAGGGGTCGGGTTCATAGGCCACCACCACGATCACCTTTTGATTTCACCAATTGTACGCAACTAATCTTAGGCTTTATTTGGAATAGCTTTCATACTGCTTTTTAAAACGGATTTCTATTACAAAAACTTTTAATTCAAGAAAATTTTGTACTAGAAAGCTGTTTTAGAAAACAAGAAGAAAGTCATTCCAAACGAAGCCTTAATCTATTGGTTGGGAGATTTGATTATTAACCAAAAAATCTTGGGTTCAAAGCATACACGTATGTGCTATCTATACAAATTTGCCTTAATTAATCTAAATGTTCCAAAAAGAAAAGAAAATTTCACCACTTGATGTGGACATGAATAAACTTTGACCTTTAATATTTTTTCAGTGCTCATTTCCCATCTCTCACGGCACCATCTCTTCTTCACATCAAAGCATGCAGAGGTAATAAGCCAAAAGCTTTTTAATAGAGAAAAATACATACACATCTTGTTTTATTTCGAAGAATTGCATCGACATTTTGTTTTATTACGATTAATTAAATCAAGGCTACAAATAAATAGTTTTCTCAGCTAATCACCACTACCATCGCCACCGTCTGTCTCGCCCACCCACCGCTTCTATCCATCACCATTATCGTTGAGTTTTAGGCTTTGTTTTGAACAATATTCTTATTGCTTTGATTTTCAGACTGTAACCATAATTTTTATTTGACCACTAGTACTGTTTTTTTGTAGGTTTAAAAAAATTCTTGTACTGGAAAGCTTCTTTCTACAATAACTTTTAAAAGTTACTTTTGTTAACAACTTTTCAAAATAATAAAAAATTCATCTCAAACCAAGCCTCTCGCTTCGTTTGGGAGGGCTTGTTATTGTTTTTTAAAATATTTTTTAGAACAAAAATTAATTGAATTAGAAAATTTTAAAATAGAAAATTATTATAGAAAACATTAAGAAAGCAGTCCCAAATGAAACCTTAGGTTTCATTTGAGGCAGCTTTCTCTATTACTTTTTTACTGCATATAAGAAATTTTTGTTCTAAAAATTTATTTTAGAAAACAATAAAAAAGTTATCCCAAATGAAGTCTTAGGCTTCGTTTGAGACAGCTTTCATACCACTTTTTAAAACGACATTCTAGTACAAAAATTTCAAATTCAAGAAAATTTTATACATGAAAGCTGTTTTAGAAAGCAAGAAGAAAGCCGTCCCAAACGAAACCTTAGGCTTCATTTGTGATAGCTTTCTTACTACTTTGTTCTCCATAGTCCAGACAACAACTACAAGGTTTTTTTTTTCTACAATTTATTCGCTCCTTCAGAAAATATTCGTAATAGAAAGTTGCTTTCTACAATCGCTTTAAAAAGCTACTTTCTCTACAACAACTTTATAAAACAATAGGAAAGTTGGCTCAAATGAAACCTTATATTATTTTCATTTTATTTCAAACCAAATAAAAAAATAAGAATTATTTATATTTATGCAAACATCTTTAAATATTTCAAATATATAACAATTTATTTTTACATTATAATCTAATTTATTTAAATTACTTTTTTAATAAATTAAATATCACCTAAGAGTTTTTTATTGATATTTATGAGCTCTCTTTTACCATTATTTAGCTTTAGCTCTATCATTTTGTGCTAACCATTCTCCATTTTGAAAATTAAAATAGAAATGTTTTTTCTTCATAAATTTATTTGATGAATGGAGCTAATGATTAGAGTGTCGGTGGTGATAAACAATATTGACTAATATGCTTTGCATTTATTAGACCATTTACTTTAATATAATAGAAGAAAATGTGTCATGCATGGACCACCACCTTAAGAGTAGAATATCTAAGTCCCTTTCCTTGATATTTACTTTTAAGAATTTGGCATAAATTACTTTAAGTTCATGAAAAGCTCTTCATAAAATCTTCTAAAATATAAGAGAAAACTTTACAATATTATTGGACTAAAAAGTTAGATTAAGCATTCCTTTTGGACGGCTTTATTACTGCTTCTTCTTAAAGCAGTTTTTTAGTTCAAAAGTGAAAGGAAAGTCATCCCAAATGAAGCATAGATCACATAATTAAGGTCATAGAGGTTATTTTCAATCAGCGTGTTTCTATGTTTGAGAAAACTATCTCACTTAGATGAAGGCTTCGTCTAAGCCGGCTTTCTTATTGCTTCGTAAAGTTTTTGTAGAGAAAATAACATTTTAAAGCTGTTAAGAAATAAGTACTTTTTAGTACAAATTCTTTAAAAGTTGATATCTGAAAAGCAAAGCAGTAGGATAACAGTAAGAAAGTTATCCGTAACCAAATCTTATATTGCTTATATGGGAATATGGCAAAATTAGGTGTGAAGTCATTCTCCATAGGCTCTTGTCAAGAGGTTGGAATAGTTGATAG